TTGCCTTGCTCAAGGGCACCTCGGCAGTGCACAGGAGGTGAAACTGGCACCTCTCCAGCTACCAGTCCACACTCCATATTTTGTGGTCTGTGGGACTTGAACCGGCGACCCTCCGGTTCCCAAGCCAAGTATTGAATCTAAGTAGAGGAAATGAGGAAGTAGATTGAAGCTTGCTCAGCTGTTATTTGGAGCACAGAGTCACAGCTGAAGTTAGCTAATGTTTTACCAACTTAAGATGTTGGTATATGTCACTTTTATCTTTTAACCATCTTCAAAATGTGGTTGTCTTTGACATTAGGAGCACTGTGTGTATGACTGATTTAATGAAACACATTAGTGCTAATAAACATGTTACTGCGGTTGGTGAGGTTCTTCAGACTTTCCAAGTTGGACATTTTACTTCAGGGTGCGTTCAGGTGAAATTTCCCACTGGGATCTGGAAACAAAGTTAATGTGGGGTAAAACCTGGTGATACTTCAAGTCATTTAAAGCTCCTTCCAGTTATTTTGGCATGTAAACAACAATCGATTCAATAAAACCAAACATGGCGTCTCTCTTCTGCTGCGACATCTAATCAGTCACCAGATGACACGATGAAATATAAGAGGTGTTTTTTCTTTATTTTCTGGGCTGAGAGCCAAACCAAAGTCTTCAGGTTTCAGGCTGCTTCGTCCCCCAGAGGACGAGTCACCGTCTCTCACCTCCTTTAATCTGTCTGACTCATCAGGACCGACTGAGGGCTATTATGGTCTGTCAGCAGATCTGCTCAGTGTGACGGGAAAATGTAAAACAGCAGGACAGAAAAAGAGGAAAAGTAAAGACATTGTCTGTGTGATGTCTTTCTACTGTCCACTAACACAAACACAGACAAAAACTGCTTTAATCGACCTCTGCAGGTCAGCTTGTCTTTAAGACAGAAGAGGAAGTGAGAGCGGAGGTCACACTGCTCCTCACACACTAAACACACTGACATTTTATTGCTGCATTAACAACTTTATGAAATAAATCAACACTGTCGTCCCCACAATAAATGATTTATAAATCAATTATGTAATTAAGAATATATATTTAAAGTCATTCTGACCCTTTAAGATCACATCCTCGGTTATATTGATCCCTATTTAACAACGTGTGACATATATTTATATCAATATTCAATCATGTTATCTTCACAAACAGCAGAGCTCACTGATTACTGTACAAACAACTGTATCATTATAAAGCTCACTTCCAAGATCACCGTCAGTACAAGCAGCCAAGAGACGAAGGTCAAAGGTCAGAGCAGAGTCATTCAGAGCGCTCTCCTCCTCCTGGTATTCAGTTATTCTCCTTCCGTCTGAACCTGAGAGACGTCCTCAGAGGTTTGGTCCAGAAATGAGCCGAGCGTCTCAGAGCAGCAGAACAAACGGCTGCTCGCCACCACGGGAGAACGAGTCAATACCCAGCAGTGAGTCACCGCCACCGCCGCCGCCGCCGCCATCAGGCCGCAAAGCAATTACAGCCTCAACGGGGGCTTTGTTCCGAGGCAGCCCTGTAATTATCCTGCAGGGATCAGCAATCCCTCCTGAACACAACGCCACAGCTAATTGATAGATAAGAGACGGCGGCGGCGGCTTGATGTTCTCACACTCTGTGATCTTCATCATCATCTTCATCAATCAGCCGTCAGGCAGCAAAAATAAGATAAATGAGTTTTATGTGACGTGTTCTAGTGCTACAAATAAAGGCTTTACATTCAATGTCTGCATCCTTTCTCTGTGTTCTCCAGGTACTGAACGACAGAGACTGATGACGCACTGCCAGGTTGCCTTGCTCTAGGGCAGCTCGGCAGTGAACAGGAGGTGGGACTGGCACCTCTCCAGCTACCAGTACAGCCTCGAACCAGCAACCCTCTGGTTCCCTATCCAGGTCCCTACAGACGGAGCTGGACCTGATCTTACAGAAGTTTATTTCCTTAATGCTTTTCTGGTTTTATCTGATTGGAATTCTCTTTAAATTGATGATTTTATAACTTGTGTTTTATTTTTTATATTATGTATACATGTATATTATGAAATGACTTAGATCCAAAATACGATGACAGAAAACAACCAAACAGACCTCCAGTCTTCAGCCTGGACTGTGGAACCACCTAAAGGACCTTTAGGAGGATCTCAGGTTGCGTTCAGGAGTTGGACCTTTTCAGCAGATCCTCCCCGACTGTAAATAAGATAAACTGAATAAATCAGACTAAAAACGAGAGGTGGAAGAAGAACAGCCTCCAGTTCTGCTTCCTGTCAGTCGGAGAGGAAGCAGAACCGCTCAGATTGAGTCCAGCCTGTGACGGGCTCCCCGGGCTCTACCGGAGGAGGGCGCTTTGTGTTCTGTGTGTAAATAAATGCAGAATGATGTAAATTAAATTACAGACAAACATGTTTTTTATTATTATTTTTTAAATCTATCTTAAATTATAACGCTGTTACATGGTGTGAACTACAGCTCGGCTCCTCTTTATAACACCCGACCCTGAACACAAGAAATTCTGGGATGTCTCTAAAATATTGATTGATTATTAGCTCCTCCAGGATTTGGTTTATTTTGGGATTATTGCGACTTCATAGCAGCCTTTCTAAAAAACTGCAGTTCATGTTGTTGATGTTTTCAATCATTTTTTTGCAATGAAAGTGTGGGAGAAAGTTTATATTTAGTATAGTTTATATATAGAATAGTTTATATATAGAATAGTTTATATATAAAATAGTTTATATATAGAATAGTTTTTCAAGTCCACAGACACAAAAATATGTGAGTGTGGACTGGTAGCTGGAGAGGTGCCAGTGTCACCTCCTGTGCACTGCCGAGGTGCCCTTGAGCAAGGGCAACTAACCCCGAAACCTGCTCATGACCCCATCACTCCACCGTCTCTCCCCTTTTGCATGTCCACATGTGCATGAAGGTGT